GTAAAGGACCATGCTTTTCACTAACTTGGATATCAGAGGCTGAGCATGTTTGTGCTGAAATAAAAACATGACAATAAAGTAAATCTTGAGGAAGAATTATTATCAGTCCAAAATTTATACCCAGCCTATCATTCTGGTATGAAGGCAAAATACCCTTATTTCCCCTACAAAACTCAAAACACTCCTCCTTGCTTCAAACACACTTATTTCATTGTTTGTGGCAATATGGCTTTTACTGAAACAAGATTTTGAAAAATTTAAACCTCCACCATATTTTTCAATTACTCAACTCAAAAAATTTTATCTTCAATATATCTGTTTTGAGAGAAGTAGTTAAGAAAGCATTCCAGAGAAATGAGAGTAAAAACCGTTAAAAAGAAAGAAATTAGGAAGTAAACTAGCAGTTCAGTACAAAGAAGTTTTGGGAAGGTACTTAAACAACAGGTCTAGAAATTAACTAGTAAGGCAAAAAAGGGTAGCTTGCTCACAGTTCCTGAGTACTAGCTCACTCAAGGTGACTCTGCAGCTGATGGTACATCCAGGATCCCACCGAGGGGCTGAGTTCCAGGGTCCATGCTCTTATCCACTGCCTATATTTGGAGGTGAAATTTTTAATATCATCAAAGTATCAATTATGCACAAATTATATATTTAATGAAGTTTTGAGTCAAATCACAAGATAATTTTTTTAATTACACAAAACAATTGTTATGGTTCAAATAAAAATGTCCCCCAAAAGCCTTGTGTGTATGGCGATTGGATCAAGGGGGCTCTGTACTGAATGTGCTAAATGTGTGGTTAGCAGGTGGGGTCTCATTGGAGCCTCCTCCATGGCGCCTCCTTTCTCTCTCTGCCACCATGGTGTGAGCACCATGATGTGAACAGCTTTCCTCTGCCAGATCTTTCCACTATGCCATTTCTGCATTAGAGTCAACCGACCATGGATCGTAACCATGAGCCAAAATAAACCTCTCCTCCGTTAAATTATTGGTATCAGGTATTTTGTGTCAGCAATGAGAAAGTGATTAAAACAGCAATTTTATCATATTTATGGAAGAAGAGATATGGCAAGAAAACCAAGCAATATGAAAAAGAAAGAATGAAAGGGTATACCTTATCAGATAATATCATATATTATAGATTTATTATATTCAAGTCAATCAAATACTGTATTGGCATAAACATAGACAAACAGATCTGCACAACAAATAACACAGAAATAGATCCTAGCAGATATGAGAACGTACTATGACAAAGCTAGTAATTGTATTCTATGTGAGCAGGCTGGTTTAACACATGATATGACAAAATTGATTCCCACTTCGGAAAGACATTATTGTTCCTCCATATTAAGTCACATGTATAACAGAATCCCAGCCTGATTAGATTTAAATATAAGAAATAAAAATAAAATAAAATCATCTTACAAGATAATTTGGGAGAATAGACATAATCCCAAAGTTGACAAATAACTTCAAAAACAGAGGTTGGATGCCAGACTTTTAAAGGTAAAAGGTAAATTTATTTAACAATGTAATATGGGAGGGTGATCAATCTTCTCACTGCCTAGGAAGGGGAACACTGAGGGATAAAGAAAAAAAGACAACAGAGACTTGCATAATTTCAAAGTATATGGAGGGCCAGGAGGTCCTCAGAGTGGACAGACAAAGACTCTCTGAGCTTGCCATTATTTATTGGGTACACACAATAATTGGAAGGAGCATCAGATGACTCAGGGGACAGCAGTAATCCTACGTTGGTGTGGATCTTATGCTAATGAAAATCTTAGGTCGAGGAGGATCTTATATTGATGAAGGCAGTAAGGAGAGCATTCTCAGAATAATGGGTAGGATGAGTTAAACTGATAAGAAATTTGTCCCTCCCCAGGTGAACCTTTCTCTTACTGCTTGGTTCTCAAGGAACCAGGATGTCTTTAGTTGTTGTAATCTTTTTCTTTTTCTTTTTTTTTTTTTTTGGGTACCGGTGATCGAACTCTGGTCCTGGCGCTTGCACAGCAGGCGGTGAAACCACTGAGCTAAATCCCCAGCCCCCTAGTTGATGTAATCTTGTCCTTGAGTATCACAGAATCACTGGACCATTGAGGTCTCAACTGTGACTGGAAGCAAAAATGGAGTTATGTTTCCAAATGCCATAGCTGGTTTGAGGGCAAGGCGACCTTGAGCCTTAGACAGCTACAGTCATACTTTAATTATGAAATGATTTTCCCCAAAATTATGTAGAATGGCTGCCAACAATGTAAAAATGTTTTTAAATTAGTAGAAAAATAATAGATTTAGAATAAAACTTATAATACACTTGACAAGCCAAAGATTCATATCCATAATATAAGAAAAATATTATAAATTGGTCAAAGAAGAAAGAGAGAGGAAACTCAGAAAATAATGCCAGAGTAAATATACAATCCAGTGGAAAATTAATCCAAATATGAAAACTATTTAATCAAGTCAGGGAAATGCAAATTTATGCAACAATGAGATACTATTTGACTCCTATTAATGTTGAAAAGATTTTTAAATTGAAAACATTGGATAGCTAGGGATGCAGCAGAAGTCAGTAGTTTCATACACTGTTGGTAGAAATGTAAATTATCACAGCTTTTTTGCAAACCAATCTAACATTGTCCATTAAAATTTAATAAATATCATATACCCTTCTGCTCTTCAATTCCACTCCTGGGAATCTACCCCATAAATATTAAACCACTCCTAGAAAGGACATGTTTATAAGACTATTTATTGTGGCCTTGTTTATAGTAGAAAACCTGAAATAATACTCATCAATGGAGGAATGGTCAAATAAATTATGTGTATCCACACAAAAGGAAATTTTTATAACCATTAAGAGACTGAATTAAATTTGTATCAGTTGGTTTAGAGGAGTTTCCACAAAGCATTGTTGAGTGAAAAATACATCTGTATAATATAAATCTATTTTATAGAATAAAGAATGACAAACTTAACTTGTATGATTACACACATGGAGGAAAATTTGCAAAAATTAATTCTGGTCTGTAAACAAGGGTTACCTGGGGGCAATCAGCCAGGAGAGGTAAGAGAAAGTCAAGAGCAGAGAATAAAGCACAATGAGGAGGGGCAAGAAAACTATGGAATGTGTTCACATTTAGGAAAAATTATGTATGAATTTTGCTTAAATTGTTAACTTTTAAAAATATAAATTGGAGGGGGGGGATGATCATTGACTATTTTGTCTCATTGTCAGCAAGAAGTTTGCCCCATTAAGCTAGTGGAGGATATGATAACTCTGTGTGGGTATGTGAGTCTGTACGTGTGTGTGTATGTGTGTGTGTGTGTGTGTGTGTGTGTGTGGTAGCCCAGAACAATGGTAAGAAGTCAAGATTTTGTTTTATACACATCTCTGCTTTTATTTCCTCCCTCTCCCCAAATTCCATTCTCCATTCCCAAATGAAGAAACATAAACTAAGTTAGGTCACAAGGAACCATCGATATTAGTGGCAAAAGTTCTTTGTTGTCTAGAAATACATTCTGAAATATATGACCCATCTTAGAAAATATACAAGACCCAGGCAGCAGATGCACACTCTTGAAAGTTGTGGTGAACCTATGGCATGCCTGCTGCAGTGGGCTGTTTGTATCATTGGAAGCTCTAAAAGGTTCTTCCATCACAACTCTAGAATTTGAAGCCAGAATCTAGAAGCAAAACACATATGATAAGACACGGAGAAGAAAAGAGAGAAAAGGAAAACCAGAACAACTGCTATTTCTTGCAATATAGCAGACTAAATACCCAGAGCAACCCCTTTACTGAAAACAGCTAACAGGCTATTCTAAATGTTTGAAATAAAAAGACAAACATAAAGGAAAAGTGGCGCTTTAGATAAGTAATCCACTTTGCCCTTGGAGCCAAAACCCAGTGTAATTGAACTTTCGTTTTGACAAGAACTTAAAAGCCAGGTCTCAACCAAGACAAGAAGTATAAGGATTGTCCTTTGTAGATCTGGGACCTCAGATACCAATACTGTAAGTATTTGTGCAAACTAGAAATCAGCCTAACCTATAGAATAGGAAGTAAGAGCAGAAATTAATAAATTTAAATATAATCATACAATACAGGGGATCAATACAATCCAAGATGGTTCTTTGAAAATTCTTATAAAGTTGACAAACCTCTTGCAATACTGATCAAAAAAGGAAAAGACAAATCATTGTAATGACCATATTATGAATGCAAAGAATAAACATAATTACAGTTGCTGTGGACATTAGAAAGGATGTTATGAACAGATTTATGTCCCCAAAATAAAAAACAAACGGAAAAGGAAAATTGTTAAAAATTTAAAGTACTAAAATGTTATCCAAAAGAAAGAGAAAAAAGCCTAATACTTTTATGAAGATTTAAAAACTTGAGGTACAAGATCCCAATGATGTATGTAAATGTATTTTATACCTAAAATGCACCAATAAACTTAATGGGGAGAAAAAAAAAAACAAACTTGAGTCCATAGCTTAAAATTCTCCAACAAAATAAAACATATCACCCAAGTTTTAGATCAATTCTACACAATTGAAAAATAGACAGCTCTTTCCATCTTGTAAGGCTGAGATAGCATACCAGAAACCAAGGGCAATTTGAAAAAGAAAAATTACAAGGCAATTTTACTCATGAACAATGGACACAAAATTCTAAGCAAAACTTTAGCAAACTGAAACCACCATTGAATAATAAAAAAAGATAATTCAACAGTATGAACTGACTTCATGAACAGATCAAAAGAAAAACATAACATGGTTATCTCAATAGATGCAGAAAAGCATTCAATAAAATACACCATTTACTGATGATTATGAACTTAGTAAACTTGGAAAATAAAAAACACTCTTTTTTAAACCTATTGCAAACATAATGGTGAATGATGAGTGCACAAAACTTAATGGCAAAGAGCCTTTCCTCCAAGATGTGAAACAAGATAACAAATCTTCACTCTTATCATTTCTATTCAGTGTCATCCTGGAGATCCTGACCAACATAGTAAGATAAGAAAGAACCACAAAAGAGAAACCAGCCAAGACTCCTGAGGACACATCCAAGACTGACTGTATGTAGATAGGGGATTGGAGAGAACTATTTTTAAATATCCTCTGTGTGCTGTCTAAATTCAAGTCCTGCTAATTCTAAAGTATTTGTACATAGCATAAAAATTTGGAAGACATATGTAGAAGGCCCACAGCCCCTGTCTAATATCACAGCCAAACTAAGGAGTAACATTAAGGGAAGGCAAGAGGCTACTAGATACTATTAAAATTTTATCAAATATTATCCAGCCATAGTGAATCACAAAATACAGTAGGATGATTTAAGTAACCACATGGCTCTTATTCTCCACTACTCTCAACCCTCTGCAGACTGCCTTGCATGTAGTTTAGAGTGCAATGAAGACTATTCCACTAACCAGCTGAAGAGCAAGTCTCCACTCCTGGCCATATATACTACCTCTGCTGAAGATTTCCATAAATAGTTGCTAGAAACAAAGAAAATGAACACCGTTGTGCAAAATAAAATCCCTCTTCCAGCAGCAGGTTCGGTCTTGTGGGCTTAAGTTATTTCTAGCATCCCCTTGGGAAAAATAGTTGAGAGAAGAGATCCTTTGGCCATGACAATTATGAATCTTTCATGATACATGAGATAACATAAATAAAATTTCAAGTTTCCAGACTATACAACTGAATCACTACTTAATCAGTATTTGTTCCATCTCTCTGTCCATTTCAAAAATAGAACATCCCTTTTACCCCTAGCAAGTTAGTTTCTAATCTTTCATTTTTTAAATATTTGCCATTTTAATATTTAAATTTGAGTCCATAGTTTCTCAATTTTGACAATCCCCAGACTCTGGACTAAGCCAGATTTTCTGTAAAACTTGGGGTTGCCAACACAGGGGAATTTTGGCACTTCTGACTGCTTCAGTTCTGAGGCAGCTTAAATTTCCTTCCTCTTTCTCTTCCATATTTTACTTCCTTGACCTTTATGTTTGGGGAATGTTTTTCCTCTCCCTGAATCTCTCATGGTTAAAAAACAAGAAATGAAACCAACCTTACCCTTCTGCTCTAGTTTGGATCTTAAATGTTCCCCCCAAGTCCCATATGGTGAACGTTTAATCCCAAACTTGACACTTTTGGGAGACAGTGGAAAGGTTAAGAAGTGGGTCTTGGTGAGAGATCTTTTGGTCACTTGGGCCATGCCCTTAATGAGGATTCTGGGACCTGGATCTCTTCCTCTTTCTCATTTTTTGTGTACCCATCATGAGATGAATGCCCTCCTCTACCATATGCTTTGCCATGATGCACTGCCTTGCCACGTGCCCAAACAACACAAGTTACACTGATCATTGACTAAAACTTCCAGAATCGTGAGCTGAAGTCAACTTTTTCCCTTTATGAGTTGAATATCTCAGGTGTTTGTTACAGTAGTGGAAAGCTAACTAAGACATCCTTCTCATTACCAACGTCATCTTTGCATTCTTTTTCTGGTTTGTGTTTCCTGGGCTTACAGCATTCCAGGACCCCTCGGATGGTCACTGGAGTCAGCAGAGAGTGGTGTCACCACAGCCTCTCTTCTGGGTGTGGAGCAAAGACCTTGGCAATGAAAGAAGCTGGGTTGAAGACCTATATCCGGTATTTTACTGGTTTTGCATCTTGGGCTCCTTGCTGAGTCTCAGTTACCTCAGAGGTAAAGGAAATTTCAGTCTAACACAAAGATTTCAGAACTAGGCAGCAAATGTAAATGAAGGAAATTGACTGAGTGTAAGGAAAATCTCAGAGCAGAGATTGGTCAAATATAAGTGCCTTCAAAGTGAGCAGCTTCTACTTAACTATGGTCACTCAGTATATATTCTGTGATGCTAGAAGTGAATTTTCAAAACAGGGCCAGGGATTTAGCTCAGTGGTTCCACTGCCTGCCTCGTAAGCGCAAGGTCCCAAGTTCGATCCCTGGTACCAAAAAAAAAGAAAGAAAGAAAGGGAAAGAATTTTCAAAACAGCCCTCCAATATGGATCATTATTGGAACTCTTTTGATTGTCAACTCAACATTTTGTAAACCATTGCGGGTTCTTTTGTCGTTGCTGCTGTTATTGTTGTTGTTTTTAGTAGACCCCCACATGCTCTTTTGCATATAGTGATCCTATGAACATTTCTGATTACTTTGCTTCCCTGGAACTTTCCAGAATCCTCCTTTCAGTTCTCTTGAATATGCTTGGCTCACCTCAGCCTCTGATGCTTTATTATAGACCTGAGAAGTGACCACCTCATCCTGAAGAGAATACATTTTTGGAGCTAGGTTTTCCCTCACAGAGACAGGGTCTCCCTAATTATGATTTCTTGAGTGTAGAGTAAGCAAAGAGGTGAACTGGATATCAAAAGTTCTGTGCCAGATCATTCTCACGTCATGGGGTCTGTGGGCTAGGACTACAGGCAGGTGCCCTCCCATCCACAGCATGTGTTTCAGTTGTGCACCTCTTGCTCCTATCTGAAATGGACCAAGCTGGATTCTAAGCTTTCTTGCCTGTCCTTAGATATTGGGGTTCTGGGTTTTTCCCTACTCCATTTCTTGCCAGAAACATTTTTGCACAAACTACTCTCTCTGATTCTCTATCCAGCTATCCAGATAACGAGAAAAAAAACCAAACAAACCAGGCACTGAATGGTGGGTATGAGCAGCCTCAGTTCCTCAGATCACTCTCCTAATTAGCTCCTGAGGCCCTCAAAGACCCTCCTCTGTCCAACATCTCTTGGCTTTTTATGCATTTATCTGTATGATTACTCATTTGCCAATATTTACTGACTTTCCTATATATCAGTTCCCTCCAGAGCCACCACATGTAAGGAGATAATAGAACAAAGTGGCTAAATCCCTAGTTTTAAATATAGCAATATCTGGGTTTGAAAAGAGAGGGACATGCCCCCACCGATGTGATTACTGGTCCTATGAGCTCAGAATGCTTAAAGTATCTACACCTCAATTGCTTAATCTGAGAAATGCATGCAATATACACCTCAACTTAGCTGGACCTTGGTGTCTAGATATGTGGTCAAACATCTTATGGTGTGTCCGTGACAGTGTTCTGCATGAGATTAAAATTCAAATCAGTGAGCTTTGAGTGAAGCAGATTTCCCTCTGTGAGAGTGGGCAAAATCCGACCAATTAAAGGCCTGAACAGAACAAAAACACTGAGTGAGCAAGAGTGAGTCTTTCTCACTTCTACTGCAATATTGTCTCTTCCCGAGTCTCCAGCCTACTGGCCCACCCTGCAGAGTTTGGACTTGCTAGTCTCCATAATCACATGATCCCATACTTGAAACAAACAATCAAGAACTCTTAGTAGATGACTGATTGGTAGATAGACAGATGATAGATAACTATTTAGAGATATTAGATACACATATAGAGAGGCATATACACAGATGTAGGTAGTTAAACACACATACTATTGGTTCTGTTTCTCTGGAAACTAATACCTCACTGCATTCTTGTGCAGATTACAATGAGGTAAGTTTTATAAAAGACTAATCACATGGTGGTTCCTGGTACGTAAAAATCTCCCAATGAATAATAAAATGAGTCAAATGATTCTAGGTAGCCCCATTTTCCCCTGCTGCTCTCCACTCTCTGAGAGCTCATGATGCAGGTGGCTGGGCTGTTTCTCTCTGGGCTGCCCTTAGAGGCTGTAGAGCTCAGGTTGAGGCTGCAGGGGCTGTGGGGTGGTGTACCACACCTTTCGCCATATTCCTGGAGCAAAGTCTGCTATGTCAGAGCCAAAGGTTCAGGTGTTACTGTGGGGCTCTTGCAGTTTCAGGTCAGTGATGGCTACCATTAATCCCTCCTACATTTGGGAAAGCTCCAGGTCAGCCTACGCAGGAGTTACCAACCTGGAGAGATGGAACACTGAAGAAGTCCAAATCCTAAACCCTGTCCACATGTTCAGATATCCAGGCTACCATCAGGCCAAAAGTAAAAACCATCACAGTATGTACTAAATCAGCAGACCATAAGAGGAAGCAAAGGAAAGAGAAACATGTTTTCCGGAACATTCTGACTTACTCTCTCAGCTCACATGGGATCCAGCCAGGCAAACAGAACCCCTGCAACATCCACAACTTCTCTCTCTTTTGTTTTTTATTTTTGTGTGTGGTGTTTTTGTTGTTTTTTGTTTTTCTGGTGGTACCGGGGATTGAACTCAGGACCTTGCGCTTTCGAGGCAAGCAGAACCACTGAGCTAAATCCCTGGACCCTCAACTTCTCTCTCTTGGCACAGCCCTGCTTAAAGGCAGAGTCTTTGAAAACTCCCTGCAGACCCCCTGACAAGTTCTTTCTGGGAGTGGCAGCCATGGTTTTCCATCTCGATTGTTTTTTGCTTGGACAACCTATGTTTTCACAAACAGATCCAGACCCCTGGGAAGTTGGTTTTCTCCTGGATCTTTAGCCCAGGCTGCTATGGTGTTTTCATTTCCTGTGTTTCTTAACTTCTCCATCATAATATTATCTTAAATTCATGGTGCCGCAAGTCTGCAGGCAGGGTGATACAATACCTCTTGGCATGAGTCAAAATTGCTTCATATACCTTCAGCCAGAGTCACTCTGAGACATCCTGGAAAAACTATTTAGCAAGTCAGAAGTAAATGGCACAAGAAAATAAGGCATGACATTGGGGATCGTATAAATTTTCCAGGTAGCCTGCTTCATTTTGGGAATAGATTGAGACGTCTATGTGCCCCAGAAGGAATCAGGAAGTAGGATATGTACCATACTGTGGTGTAGGCAGTATGCATGGAATCCTGAGCCTCCCTTTCTCCTGGGCCTCATAACAAGAAAAAGACACCAAGGTTCTATAAACAAGATGAACAGAACTGTACAAAAAAAGATGGGTTAAAAGTCCCAGCAGTGGGTATAAATCTGAACAGTGTGCCTTAGTTGTAAGCCTGCACAGCTGTTAAGCAGGTAGGTCGTTAAACAAGGAATATCTGTATAGTACTTCATGTAAGAGTAATGCAAATAAAAGCAAAGTCATGAGGTTGGAGTTTCCTTTGACCGTTTCTTTGTTGTGAATATTGTAATGTACATAATATATCCAATTCCTTATTTAGTGACCAGTTCATTTAACGACCTAGTCACAAGAACTGAACTTAGTCATTAAAAGAGGAATGTCTGTATGCTACACCATAGATGAACTTCAGATATATCAAGCTTAAGTGAAAAGGGTGAGGCATCAACGATGATGTACTATATGATTCCAACTATGTGAAATATCTAGAAAATGTATATCTATGTAGACACAAAGTAGATTAGTGGTTGTCTGCCACCAGGGTTTGCCTTCATTGTTTTCCTCATTGGTGGGACAAAATATCTAACACCTACACTTTAGGGAAGGAGACGCTTATTATGTCTCATGTTTCAGTCCATATTTGGCTGGCTCCAAGGCAGGATAGTACGCCCAGGAGCATGGCAGGAGACTGTTGCTCACTGCCTGGACAGGAAGAAGAGTGTCAAGGGAGAAATTAGGAAGGGAAATATATCTGTTCCAGGCCATGTCCACACTGATTCTCCTCTTCTGAGCAGGCTCCACCTCCTAACATCACATTTAGCTATAATGCTGCCATAATCCAATCACCTTTCAAAAGCCCCACCTTTGAGCACCTGAGGCTTTGTGGAGAGATCTATTTATAAACTATAACAGAGTTTGAAAAGGGGATTGTTGTAAATAGGTATAAAGGATCATCTGGAGTGATGGAAAGGTTTTTAAACTGCTTTATGTTGATGATTGCTCAACTCTGCTCCTTTCTTGAAAATTATTGAATTATACATTTAAAATGGGAAGACTTTTATGGCATGTCAATTTTACCTCAGTAAAGCTGTTAAAAGAAGAAAAAAGAGATGATGCAATGCAAAGAGATTAGCTTAAGGTGAGAAATGGAAAAGACTGGCTTGCATGTATGGAAGGGTTTGTTGACTATAGGACTACTTATGTGGGGAAAATAGTAAGTGCTGAAGTAGGTAGAGGTGCTATTGTTACTGGGTTCTTGGGTGCTGGCACTCCTTCCAGAGTTTATGTCTAGGTTCTTCTTGTTCTGAACAAAGAATTGGACAAAATGAGCACAAAAGATAGCAAGACTTTGCATTTATTAAAGTTAGGAAAAGAAACAAGCTCTGCAGAGCAAGCGTAGGCCAATTAAAAGTTAAAAAAAAAGCATACTCTACAGGGTGAGAGTGGGCCACTGTAAAAAGAGGGCACGTGGCCAAGAGCTCAATGGTGACTGCCTTTTTTTCCTCCCACTCCTCAGGCTGATATCAGATCTAGGCTGTCCTATCAAAACCCTTCCAGAAGAACTGAAGATAGCACTTTCTGAATGGTTCCAGATGCACAACTCAGGTGCATGTCTCCTGGATCTCCATGATTGACAGGTCACACACCCACTTGTCCAGCCAGTTTGCCACACCCTAATCTTCTGCCTCAATATGGGTGCAACTGAACAGCATCAATAAAGGAGAAGGAAAAGTAATTGAGAAGGCAGAGATTTGAGTTGTAGGCCAGTGGACCAACAAGAAGTTTTAAAGCCCTTCAGTGTAAATTCAAAATGTTGGGAATTTGTAGACTTTCCTGTCAGATGCTAATCTGCAGATAAGACAAGGACACACAGGTTCTGACCATCTGCATCACTATAGCATTTTCAGAAAATCCTTACCATAGTCAGCACTGGGTGAATTATTGTCTGCTCTTGAACAAAATAAATTAATCAGTTCTACAATCTATTGTTCCAAAAGAATTCATTTCTTTTTTCTTCAGAGGAGCACGAAAATGCAGTCCCCCACTACCACAAAGTATGCAGTTGAGCTTCCCACATTTGGGGAAATCGTAGAGGTCAGCACATCCAGAGTGCAATGGAGGAGCCTCACCCTGGAAAACCACCTTCGTGATCATGGTATCTCCCCTGCCAGGTAAGTATAAGAAGAATCCGTTTCTATTGTATACCTAAAATGCACCAATAAATAAACTTAATTTAAAAAAAGAAGAATCCATTTCTTGACCTAGGTAGGTATCTGTTATTTGGATATAGTTTGATATATATTGATTCAGAAACACTTAATTTGTTTTTACTTTTACAATATATAAGTATGATGTGTGTCTTGTTTAAAGTAGGATTTTATGGTACCAAATGAATAAACTTCTCACACAAACTTCAAAAACTGAAGGAAACACCTGGTCCTGGTAAGGATTAAAATAAACAGAAGAAAGTATTGAATTCTAGGCAAATGGTAGCTTCCTTGTAACACTCAGAGCTAGAGGAACTCAGAAAAGAAAATGCAACATTGAGAAAGAGATTCACAAAGGTCCTTGTTCTCTATGATTTTTGCACCTTCTGCCACCCTGCTCTTCCTCCTGTTTCCTCCACCAAACCTCTCAAGAAGTAAAGGAAAGGAGTTACTCCAACCATCTGCCTGCCTAGTAACTCTAAAAAGGATAAGTACACAGTATGTTCCAATGTTCTGAAATGTTAGAAGTTCCATTATTACCATTTTCTGCATTATTAAGTGCAGCAGAAGAAATATAGCCACCCATGTGTTGGACGTTCTCTTACCTCCTGAATAGGGAGGGCCTCTTACCAAAATAATCAAAATCCACCCTTGTCTTCTAGATAACTGAAGCCAAGGTTTAGATCTAGAAAGAGTGAGAGTATAGTGGAGTCGGGAATCTGATGATCTTGATCCCATCTGGGCAACAGCCTGGACTTTGAACTCTGAAGATGAGCAATTTATTTGGATCTATTTTCCAGGCTCTGTGCCAACATTCTTATATTCACTGTCTTGTGTAACCCTTACTACTTCTAAGACTCATCCCATGAATGTCCTCTTTTGCAGGAAATGTAACTGAAGACCAGTAAGGTTTAGTTGACTTGCTCAAGGGCAACCAACTAATTAGTAGGATTCCTAAGCTCATTCTTTTTTCCACCGTGTCACAAGTTTCCCTAAACTGGACCTGAAGTTGGAAGGTTTATGAGAGTCAGGGACAGTTCACATTCCTGTTCTGCTTCAGCAGAATGGGATGACTGGCTGACTGGAGGAGGCATGGCTAGGGAGGAAAATGGCAATTTAACCAGAGTGAGGTCTGTCATCACAGGTCTGGGGGACAAGGGAGAGATGTCTAGAGTCACTCCGTGACTGCAGGTACACCAAGTTTCTCCTAACTTGTGCTTGGATATTTTTTTAAAAATGGTTCCATCCAGGCGTGATGGTACCCACCTATAATCCCAGCACTCAGGAGGCTGAAGTAGGAGAATCTGGAGCTTGAGAGAAGCCTGAGCTACATAGCAAGCCCTAGTTTCAAAACATAAAACAACACAAACGATTATATTAATTTTCTCTTGTTTGTTGTGGCCCATTTTAAAGAGTATAGAATTTGGAATCAGAAAACAGCAGGATTTAAGCCTAGGTCCTGCAATATAATGTTGAGTGATCTTGAGGAATTTACTTAAACCCTGAGCCTTATTTAAAATGAGGATAATTGGTTGTACCTACCGCATGGAGTTGTTTAGAGCCTTAAATGAGATCATTCTCCAGAAAAGGGCTTTGTAAGGTGATATATCTTGACTTTCACTTTTAAATTTTATGGCAGCCATCATCATCATAAACCATTCTCCTATATCCTCATCCAAGTTGGAGAGAGAGAGAGAGAGAGAGAGAGAGAGATCTCAGGCAGGACCTGGCACAGGACAAAGTTCTATTGTTCAGTACAAGCAGTCTCCTTCCCCCTGGCTGTGGGAGCACATCTGATTAATGACAGCATAACTTTTTAAACAGCCAGGCACTAATCTATTTGTCCTAAACCAGTTTGTGTTTCTCAGTCTTTGTCTAAAAAAGATCATGAAAGGATCTGTCAAATCCCTTGATGAAATCTGGGGTTCTACCCTCATGATCTTCCCTTGATCTTGCAGTCCAGGTTTTTTTGTTTTGTTTTGTTTCACAAGGAAATCAGGGTTACTGGACCGTGCTGAGCTCACACTACCCTAGGAATCACCTTTAGAAATGTCCAAAGCCACTTGTTCCACATTTCTTCTAAAATATTCCTGGGAGGGGTCCCTCCTCAGGGTGCTAGGATGTGGGAGAAACCTGATAGTGTACCAGGTTGTTAAGGCGAGCACAGGTTAAGGCACCAGGCTTTGTCTGAGAGTCACACACAAGAAAGTGTAGGTGAGCAGCAGGATTCCAGGGCATTCACTCAGGGAGATCCCAAGCCATCCATAAGGGAGCTCAAACCAAAGGTCAGGGTGTGGGCAAATTAAGAGTTAAGGTACCCAAGCACTAAAAAGCAAAGAGACCACAAAGGTACAAAATTAAGACTGGGAGCAGAGGGGGTGGCTGAATAGTACCCCTTGGAGCTGAGGAGTTAGCAAGAAAATAGATGGATTCCACCAATCTACTAAGGTCTAGCATGATCTATTAGCCCAGCTACAGGAAATCTGGGGTTTTTCCTTATAGTCTTTTACAAAGCACCCTTTCTTGACACAAAAAGAAACTCAAGCTTTGATCATTTCCAGAGCCCACTTCCTCCTACTTCTTGAATTTGCATCCATATGAGTGTCTGCTGGTGCTTTCCCTACCGCCTACAGGTTTTGAAAAATGACTGGCAGTTCTTCTTCCATCACAGTTGCCAGTTGGTTCTGTAGAGTTCAGTCAGGGTTAAGAATTTGGGCCTTGGTGCCAGACAGACATGGGTACACATCCTGATAGTTCACTTACTTCAGTTGGGACCTTGAGTAACTAACTGTTTTGAGCTATGTTTTCTCACTGAAAAACAGGGGTAGCAACAGTCTTGCTTCATAGGATTGTTGGGAGGCTTTGAGGAGATAACATGTGTAAAGGACGTGGCATGGTGCCCAAACACCAATCATGTTCCACAAATACTTCCACGCCTAACCACACCATTAGTCCCCATTGTTCAAGGATGGACCCCCTTTGTCATGTGACTTTGCAGCTCTCCCTGCTGGAGGCAGGCTGTACCACCCATGTCATTTGGATTGGTCTTTTAAAAAAATTTTTGGTACCGGGGATCAAACTCAGGACCTTGCGCTTGTGAGGCAGGCGCAGGGCCACTGAGATAAATCCCCAGCCCTCATTTGCTTTGGTCTTGCATGGCCTATGATTTGCTTCAGCCAGCAGAATGTGGACAAGGAACAATGTACCACTTTTCTTTATGTATTATGCATTTCTACACATCCCATTTGTGCTTCCGCCATTGCCAAAAGAAGGCAACACCCCAGGAGCCCTCCTGCTACCAGGATAATTAAAGACTCATAGAGCTGACCTGGACCCAGTCCACAGCTGAGGACCATGCCCAGCAGAGCTCAGCCCAGATTAGTCAAATCCCAGCCAGCCCACAAACACAGGAACACCAAATAATAAGTGCTTATTGTTGTATACCAGAAAGTTTGGGAATGGTTTTAAGTGGCATTATTGCAATAATAACTTATACTTACCTTGTCCAGGGCTTGGAGACTTAATCTTATTTAAAGTAGTTAAATGGACTCATTTTTCTTTAATTCCAGTCCCCATCAAGCCTCCGTGTAATGAAAAGAGTATGAGTTTTAGAGCCAGAGAGATGTAATTTATCTATAGCTTACACATCTTATTAGCTGAGTTGCTTGGGGCAAGTCACTTCACTGAGCCTTTTCTATAGTTTGAACGCTCCCTCCAAAACTCACTTTGAAATTTAATTGCCGGTGTAACAGTGTTGAGAGATGGGGCCTTTAAAATGTGATTAGGTCAGGACAGCTCAGCCCCATGAATGGATTAATGCTGTTTTCAAGGGCGTGGGTTAGTTACCTCGGGCATGGGGTCCTAAATTCAGGTCTTATCCTCTCAGCACCTCACATGTGCTCCTTGCTCTTCTACCAGTCAACAGCACTGAGCCCCTCACCAGATACTGAAGCCATACTCTTGGACTTCCCACTTCTAGAACCATTAGCCAAATGAATTTCTATTGTTCATAAATTATACAGTCTGTGGTATTCTTTTACAGTATCTGAAAATGGACTGAGACACTCTTGGTTCTTCATCTATAAAACAGGAATGAGAATACCAGCCCCTGTTAGCTTAAAGACTAAAAGGCATAATGTATGTCACATGTGTAGACATAGCATGAAATCTCAAGACAAATGAGCTATACTGTCCTTTTCTTTGTAAGCATGTTATCCTTTTTGCAACTTGGAAAGCCTCATCTCCAGATCTTTGCAGAGCAGACAGAGTGAATAAAGTCCACCGGAGTTGAGACTTTCAGCTTTGTCTCAGACTTCTGTTCATTCTTTCACATATTTGTGGTATTTTGCATGTATCAATCACTGTTCTAGGCTCTGGAATCTGTTGGTCAAAAAGGGCAGAGATATAGCCAAGTGGTAGAGCACTTATCTAGCATGCACAAGGCCCTGGGTTCAATCCCCAGTTTGGTGGAGATGAAGTCATGACTTTCATGGATCTTACATTCAGGAAGAGATCAGTGAGTAAGACAACAATAGATAAGCTGGGTAATCCCAGTCAGTGGTGAATGTATATAAATAGAGGGGTGGGGATGTGGGAGAGTGGCATGGTGAGGGACAGCCTAGCGGTCAGAGAAGATCTCATTTAGGCATCATACTCTGTTTTTCAAACAGCAGGAATGTTCCTCATTAATTCTTTTTGTTCCACACTTAATCTGAAGAGCTTTTTTTATGCTGTAATAAGTTACAGGGAATTTTGGTTTTGGTTTTGGTTTTGCCCATAACCACCTGCCACTCTTGGTATAGATCCAAGAAGCTCTTCTAAATTCATGCTTGACCTTGTGTTCTTCCTCCCTCCTTTCATACACATATGGATTCTCTAAGTTACCTTGGGCAACCACAGCCACCCTTTCAATATGGCTTCCGTTTCTTTCTCACTGGAAGCATCTTTAGTCTTGTATGTTGTAG